GACAATGTGCCGTAAGCCTTTATTTTTGCAGCGACTTCAACAGTAACGAGATTCTGTACCGTTAATGAGAAATAAGTGTAAAACCAGCAGAAAACACAAACTCCTATAACTACAGTCCTGGAAATATAGCGACTGTAAGTATAAGGATAAACTACAGCAAGGAATCGGTCCACCTGTGCAGACAAGATGGTCAGAATATTGACTCCCAGTAGCGAAGGCACGATGGAATAGGTGCCGTTATTGGACGGATAGCCCTCCTGCACATCAAACAGACCGATGTAGTAACCACCTACCCCAGACAGAGTGTCGCATATGCTTGTGTTTAGCATGAAAATGAATCTGTTTTGAGCTCGAAGTGACTTTTTAAAAATAATACCCAACACAACCGAGACAGCCACGAGAACAGAACTGGTAGCAATTAGTAGATTTGCTATAAAAATGAAATAATCTGCAGCTTCATTAAAGTCCACCGCTAACGGCACAGTGAGGTTGAGAGAAATCATCGTGAAATGAATATCTGAGGACTCTGCCCTTGAGTTTTAATAGAAGAATTACACACAGGAGATTTCACGTGTTACATGGTATCTGAATGTCTGGGGCTTCGTTTCTCCTGCGAATAATTAACTCTCAATCTGTTCACGAGGAATGACGCCATCGAAAATGAGCTGCTTTGCGAATGTATGTGGAGTATTTTAGTGTAATAGGTTTTGGTTTTACCCGTTTGGTTAATATGCAGCCGCCTGGCCACAGGACGAGGAGGCTGGACTCCCCACTAAGACAGAGGAGTTCACCAAGGGGAAACTGCACAGGTGGAGATGGGGGAGGAGGCGGAAAAGAGCGAGAGGAGATGCGTGTGAGCGCTGAGTCACATCAAAGTGTTTAAACAGAAGTCGGTAACGATTGTGATTAGGAGCAGTTGGATGAGCTGTTATTTCTCAGTTTGAGTCCAGCAGTTTCAAGTTGTTTGCATTTTGTCTGACAGTTGCATACCGATCAATGTCATGAGCTGAGGTTGTCGTTTATAACAAATTCAAAATGACTGAATGGACAAAGAACTTCAATCAGTGCCGCTCTGTACAGAGAGGAATCTATTAACACGGAGTGTAGTTATTAACGTGTTTTTGATGACGTAGAGAGGACAGTAGATGCAGCTGTATCATTAACATGAAATAAATTTATGATTTATCCCGAGCTCATCTCTGTACATACCGAATGGCTTCCTCTCGATTATCACATCTATATTTTTGAGCAAAAAAATCATGTACTCTATATTATTCCGTCACAGGTTGAATTTTCTTCAGTCGTGATTGTAATGAATAATTGATGTCAAGGGAGCAGTCAGTCCAGTACAACTACCAGGTATGAACAGAAGATGGCGCCAATGATCTTTAAGACCGGGTGCAGTATTGTTTCTCTCAAGGAGTCAGACGGCTGTAGCTGAGCAGGTCAAATATATGACTGGACTGTAATTCATAGTCATACAGCCTGATCTGTTCTTCTCGGTTTCGTAGTTTTTTGTTAAAAGTAACGTCTAACCATGAAAGCTGTTGTAAGCTTAATTATAACTGTTACCGTGGAGACAGAATTGCAACGTGCTTAATTTTACGGAGTGTTTGCAGTTCTCCGTTCAAGGCAAAACTGCAAGCACACACGTTAGGTTTTCGTAGTAATTTGAGGAATTAAAAAGAAAACTTTTTTCAGTGCCTCTGAATGTCTTTGAATGCCCCTGAAACATTACGTTTAACACAAAAGCTTTTTTAACTTTTTTTTTTATTTTACGGTATATCTGTGTGAAAACATTTTATTCATACTTTATACACCGCCTTCCAAAATACCAGGGACTGCGGTTTTCCTAAAGATGTATCTTGTCTGTCTGAATTAGTGGACTATTAGCTGCCCAGCATGAGAGATGAACCTCAACCTGCCCAAGTGTCTCACTACTTCGCTGGGGACCAATTAGTTATATTCTAGAGATATACAGGTATGTACTCTGTAAAAAACAATCACAGAAGTTTAGTAATTTAGTGTTTGAATGAAACATACTTTATGTAGTAAAGAAAAATCAATTCTTTTGACTTATTAGTTGTGAGAAGGCGAAGTTTGTTGAAATCAGTCCTAACAAATTAATGAGGCAAATAATATCTTAAATTGTAGATATAACCAAGGATCTTCCATTCCTAATATGCAGTATAAGAAATGATCAGGCTCCAGAGAAAAACACCAGTACTAATGAAAGTGAAAGTGTACTTCATGGCTAAGTACCAGATTGCTTGTCGTTATCTTCCATTGAGAAGCTGTCACGCCGTCTACAGCTAGAGGGCGCCCCTACTCTGTCCTGTCCCTAGTTTCCTGTGCTTTGCTTGTCATTCCGGTGTGTCTCTGTCTAGGGGTATATATCTCCTGGTCACCCTTTCCTCTTCACTCAGCATTGAGGTTCGGATGTCCTGAGACCGGCCTAGCACCAGGTCGCCCCACGTCCATAGCCTGAGGGCATAGGTTTCTATACGGCATTTCCTGAATAGCTGAGCCCGGGCTAACCCCCGTCTCTCCGCTACGGTAGGGTCTTTTACGCTCTCCTGCCATTCCACGGTTTGTCCCTTCCGACATCCGTGACAGAAGCACTAATCAGTGGCATAGTGGCATGGTAGCGAGATTTCAGTCCGCCCCCCTCAGAGTTTCAGACACCCCTTACAGATTTTTCCCCTGGCGCCGGCTCTCAATGTGGAAAATACATTTGGAGCCTGAAATCAGTTCATGGAGCACATTATGAGGCCAGTTAATAAGACAACACTGGAGTAAAAGGCAGGAGTTCAGAGCGCCAGGAAGCAGGAAGAACACACGGGTGAGAGCCCTCATTTGCATATATGGGGTGTCACGGTAAGGTGAACCCTAGAGTGAACCAGTGTCTCTAGTGGTCGTCAGTTAGTGAACCAGTAGTTCCTCGCTCCAGGTGTTAGAAGTCTCTGCACAGTTCCTCCGTGGTCTCGCACTCTGCAGCTTCCCTGGTGCTGCCTGTGTCATCTCCAGGGTCCCGTGGAAATTCCGAGACCCCTCTGTCTTGTCTCAGGTGTTTTTATCCCTCTCCTTAGCCAATCCCTTTCAGGGGGCTTTCCACCGTCCCTGACAGAATCGGGTTTGCCCAGAATTTTTCCAGGAGGAAGCTTGTGTTGTTTGACTGTGAGGGTGCCAAGCTAGGTGTTATAGGACCTTATAAGTTCATTGTTCACTCTCCGGCTCTCCCTCTTCCTCCCTTGGTCTGGCTAAAACTGGCTCAGCGACTGGGCTGTAACTGCTGTACAGTTCTACTCAACTAATGCAATGAAACATTCTTACAAATTTATTTTCTACCTTTTTCTTAGTACTAGACATCTGCACACCCGTTCAGCACAGCCTCCCTGAGAGCGGGGCTCCCCCAGATGTACAGCCCGGGGCTACTAGTTGAGGTGAACCTTAGCTTCATGGTCACAGGGTGGCTGGCGCTGCTCTTAAACAAGTATCTGTCTCTGGTCAACTCAGCCGCGATAACTGCGTAAAAGCCAGGAGTCCAGAGCGCCAGGAAGCAGACTACCACCACGATGATGAGTCTCAGGGACTCTTTCTTGCTGTCTCTCTCTGGACCCGGCGGCTCACGCGAAATTTAGTATTCAGAGATGAGGTACAGTTTCATCACTTTCAACAGTACTGTCGTGATTATTATTGGTAAATTAGTACAAGGAATCGGTGCACCTGTGCAAACAAGATGGTCAGATTATTGACTCCCAGTAGCGAAGGCTGGACAGCCCTCCTGCACTTCAAATGTGGATTAAGTTTCAGACATGCTGTGTTCAGCATTTAATTTTACTTTTACATCTTTAAAATTAGTGTCAGAGATCTCCCCCACAACAAATGTGTTTGGAATAGCCTTTTCCTGAAAATTTCCCAGAATATTTCCCAGATGTTAGACAACGGATATGTGTAGGATGTCAAAATACCCATGAACACAAGATGGCGCAATAACCTTTTATAGCGTGTGAATTACACTTCAACCTGCCCAAGTGTCTGTGAGCTGAACTTCGCTCGGGAACAAGTACTGTAGGAGTATTCAAGAGATCCACGTGCTCTTTGCAAACAATTACAGCAGTGTAAATATGAACCGTTCAGATTAAACAAATATATATTTTGCAAAGTAAAATCTGCTTTGATGATTTGTTACCAGACTTAATCATTTTCAAATTCAAAATCCTTAGGTCGATTTCTAATTTGATTTTTACATCTTGAAAATCGCAATGCATGAGACGTCCACAATTTTTCAATTGGTAATAGCATTGCATCGGGAAATGATCACGTTCTGCTACATAGTAAGATGGTAGATCGGTGGCTCTATGGCTAAGGATCCGTGCTTGTGACTGGAAGGTTGCTAATTCAAATCCCGCAGCTGGCAGAGGAATCCTACTCCGTTCGGCCCCTGAGCAAGGCCCTTAACCCCAACTGCTCCAGGGGCGCTGTACAATGGCTGATCCTGAATTCTGACCCCCAGCTTCTCTCCCTGTCTGTGTGTCTCATGGAGAGCAAGCTGGGGTATGCGAAAAGACAGATTCCTAATGCAGGAAATTGTAAAGGGCATATAAACCAACATTAACATTAGATAACATATGGTTCGGATTTCAAAAGAAAACAAATGTAACACTTATTTTCGATATGACTCCCTTCCTGACATCGGGTGTAGTTTCATTACCAAAGCTGAGCTAATTAAGAATGTGATTGAACAGAGTGTTTGAGTCTGAACGGTGAGATTCCAGACACTAAAGACACTGGGAGTGACGAACGAGAGACAGAAAGATAGGAATCAAAATGAAGGTAAATTAATAGTCTCCGATTCTTGTTAAATTCGCTTTTACTACTATAAAAAGTGGTAGGAGAGGGTTTTCCATGTGATTGAGCTCTTCAGCAGACACGTGTGAATATTTATTTTTTTTAAATACTTTAAAATATTTTTTTTTAATGAAAAAAAGTTTCTCGATAAGTAGTCTAATATTCTAATGAAAATCAAACGGTCAAACGGCAGAAATATTCTGACCCAAGTCATCAAACGTATTGAAGTTTCACAGGGTGCTCGACTCTACAATGTTGTTCAGTTATGACGCTGATGACGTTTTCAGTTTCACTTCGTTATATTCGGCTATTTTGCGGACTTTTTGCATCCGGGCCGGTCCTGGAAAACAGAAAAGATTTTTACATGTAACATTTTAAGCCTTCATCTTGTATCCAGACTCAGGTTTCGGGTGGCGTTTCAACAGCAGTTTGGCTGCAGGGATGATTCATGTGCTGTTCTGTGCACACTCCGTTTCAGAAGGTGAATGTCTGACTGCTTTTGAATTTTCCTAAGGATTAAAGATGATTTTCTCCTTGTGTTTGGAAACCATCTTTTCTGTTTCAAGTCTGATTGTCAAAGGAAAGGAGTCTCCGAGGC